TTACACGCAAGCAACGCAAGTGAAGCTTTTTAAAATAACCTAAAGTAATTGAAAAAAAGCGAACACTTGTATACTGTTTGAAGAAGCTACACGAAAGACTACTACTCCAGGATTTGCAAAGCGTACCCATGGAAAAAGTACTCCATCTCAATCTGCTTGAGATGGAATACTTTTTCCATGTATTTTGCAGAACAGCTTTCACTTCTGGACTGCCAAGAATAAAAATAGATCGATCCTACTGAGACAAACTAAAAGTGACTTTTCTGGGTGCGTCGTTGCTTTTTTTTTTTTTTTTAATACATTTCTGTCGACTTATCTTGTATTTTTAAATATACAGAGATATGGCACGAGGTTCTAAACTGTTTCGTACATTAGAAATAAAGGAAAAAAAAGATCTTGTACACTACAAGTCTATGGAGGAGGTCGAAATAATAATTATTTTGTTATTTTTGCTACGAAATATGTGTATATGTCCGCCTATGCGTGTGGGTTTGTGAATATGTGTTAGTGTGCGCGCGTGCCTGGGTATTTGTATATACCGTTTACAAATGATTAAGAACACAAAGCGTAGATTTTCGTGCACATACATACCGAAAACAGAAGAGGAATATTAACGGAAAAACACGGAAATAACAACCCATACATACCGAAAACAGAAGAGGAATATTAACGTAAAAACACGGCAATAACAACCCTCCTTTTCTTAAACACAGAACCACAGACTGACTTCGACAATCAATACACACCAACAATGAACCAATGAAGTTCCTCGTGGGCAGGAAACCACAGAAATGTTGGTGCCATCAGACGGATTACCAATACTGGGAAGTGGATCTTTCTGAATGGGGAGAGGAACAACTCTCATTTCTAAGGCTAACAATTCAGTAGATACATATTTGCAATTGCTGCGCCACTCGCAAGAAGTAGAACAATCGCTGTTTGCTGTTATTACAAATTTACTTATTATGCTGTGCTTTGGTACTTAAATTTTGCTGTTTGCTGTTATCACAAATTTACTTGATATACTGTGCTTTGGTACTTAAATTTTGCTTTTGATGCCAATCATTCTTTATCTGCACGGCTGTTTTATTTTATACTTAATGGGTATATCGATAAAGGGGAAAATAAGGAACATTTTAAAAAGAGAAACAGCGAATAAACTTTAATAAACAAGGAATACGAATAAATTAAAAAGAAAAGTATGTGCTTTAATAAACTGAAGAAATACGAATGCTTGATAAAGAAAAGTATGTGGTGCACATCGCATAATACCCAATTTAACCACATTTACAGAGAATTAAAAAAAAAAAAAAAAAAAAAACTTACTATGAAGTGTTCCTTCAATATTTTCCTTTCCATTTCTCATACCTTGCTGTTTCCTCTCTGACAATAACGCGTCCAGAATGCCCCTTGGCCACGGACGGGGAAACGAGCAAGTTCCCATTGCATCTTCGAAAGAAAGTTATTTCCTTTGCATTCATTTCCATATCAGCGCTTTCCTTGTTGGTGCATTGGCGTTGAGCATTGTTTTGGAGAGGAGAATGCTTATCTCAAGGACCAAAGGAGCTGATAAATGTTTTATTGTCACACACACACACACACACACACACACACACACACACACACACACACACATATATATATATATATATTGATATATGTATGAATACATAATATATATATATATATATATATATATATATATAATACATATATATATATAATATATATATATATATATATATATATATATATATATATATATATATATATATATATATATATATATATATATATATATATATATATTATATATAATATATATATATATATATTATATATATATATATATATATATATATATATATATATATATATATATATATATATATATATATATATATATTATATATATATATATATATATATATATATATATATATATATATATATATATATATATATATATATATATATATAATATATATATATAATATATATATATATATATTATATATATGTATATATATATATATATAATATATATATATATATATATATATATATATATAAATTATATCGTAAAGTAATCCATCTTGTTACTTCATTATTTCTGTGTCAAACTCACAGCGAGGGAATATGGGGGTGGGAGTGGGTTATAACAGAGAAAATCGACTCCCTCAATGATGAAGAACACGAGAGACGACAGACGTAAGAATCCATATGCAGATCAACCTACATAAACCGTGAAATACGAGAGTGATGAACCAATAATGTCGAGAGTTATTTCTTACTTGTCATGAGTCACTGATCCTGATTGAGTGACCTTGCGGTGGTGTGCAGTTATACTTTTTTTATATATATATATATATATATATATATATATATATATATATATATATATATATATATATATATATATATATATATATATAATATATACATATATATATATATATTATATATATATATATACATATATATATACATATATATATTATATATATATATATATATATATATATATATAGTTACGTAGCTTTCGTTCTTTAACAATGACACCGGTTGTTCCAGAACAGGGCGCATAACAGAACCCAATCTAGGTTGATATGATTTGGTGTCAAGCGTAATACAATATAAATATACTTTTGTTTCTCTTAATTCCAAGCTCATAGTCCACTCAGAAGTACGTATGTTCTTATATGCTGCTGTAATATCTCCTGCTTGTTTATCTTAACGGTAATATTAACAATGTTATCAATCATTAGTAATTTATATACTAGTAATTAGATATTTATATACTAGTTCTTCTTTTCAAGCCTTGTTATAATTACTAATTAATCATCACTTATTATGTTCCACGTGTTTATTTACTATGTTATATTAATCTTATTGTACACAACTTTCTATCATTTATCATTTCTTTTAGATTCCCTTTTTAAAGTATTGTAGATTTTTTGTAATATAAAGTAAGTATGTAAAGTAGGGAGTATAAAGCCACTTTATGATTCACTTATATTTTCACCAATCACCGGATAACAAAATAGAAATCACTTCATCCACAAACATATATTCACTTCAACACACACAAAATAATATTCATATAGAAATAAACATAACATAAATACAGGGTGTCAAATAAAGTTAACTTACAAATATTAACGTAAATTATAGTAAACCACAACCCGGCTCCGCCGACCACCGACCAGCCATAGTCACCTCTTTCCACCAGTCCGTCCAAGGTCGTTCTACCCCTCATTCGCCCTCACCCCCATACAATCCTATTCTGAGTTGACTAGACCGAAACCCGAACCCGACCGAACCCCTTATGTCTCGTCCACGTATCCGAATCCCGTCAGTCCGTCGCAGTCGGAGCGAAGCGATGTGAGGTCATGCAGAGGTCATGCAATTAGTTGACGATCATGCACAGGTCGATGGTCGATGGGCAGCCATGTAATACCTCCCTCCTTAAAAGAAAAAGAAGTATTACTTTCTTTTTATTTAAATGTTTATATATTTCATATGATGCATTATGTAGAGCATATCACTCTGCCCATTCACTTCTTATTCAATTATTTATATTAAATAGCACATCACCTGATCTGACGTATAATTGGTTTAGGAGACAGAGGAACTTAGCTGGTGCAAAACAAAGATAGATTAGAAAATCTGTAATATAGGATCAGACATCTATTACAATTTACAACTTTGCAATCTATATGCTTTGCTTACCCACGTGACAAAGCATCAGCCAGTACATTTTCTTTTCCTCTGATGTGGTTAACACTGAGGTTGTATTTCTGAAGCTCTAAACTCCACCTCAGAATCCTCTGATTCTTACAGCTCATTTTAGAGATGAAAGTTAATGGATTATGGTCTGTATAAATCTTTACAGCTTCCTTTGTAGGATATAAATAAATTTCAAAGTGCCTCAAAGCTAATATCAAAGCAAGAGTTTCTTTCTCTACTGTAGAGTAATTTCGCTGATGCTTATTGAATTTCTTGGAGAAATAACACACCGGATGATCAACGCCAGCTGCATCAGCCTGACATAACACAGCCCCAGCACCCGTGTCACTAGCGTCTACATACAGGATGAAACCCTTCTCAAAGTCAGGCGAGATGAGGATGGGTGAAGATATCAGCATAGCTTTGACTGTTTTAAAGGCTTTTTCACATGAATCTGACCAAATGAACTTAACTCCTTTCTTTAATAAATCTGTTAATGGGGCAACAATATCAGAAAAATTCATCACAAACCTCCTATAGTAGCCAGCCATGCCAAGAAACCTCATCACCTCTCTCTTGGCCTTGGGCGCTGGGTACTTATCTATTGCATGAATCTTGCTATTCAAAGGCTTGACCTGACCAACTTCATATCCCAGGTAGTTACATGCGCATGTGCAAAGTCACTCTTGGCAAGGTTTACCGTTAGGTTAGCTGCCGAGAGCCTCTCAAACAGTGCCTGCAGCCTCTCCAGATGTTCCACCCAGTTGTCACTGTAAATTATTATGTCATCCAGATAAGCTTTACATCCATCTAATCCTGAAATTAGACCATTGATTAAACGCTGGAAGGTTGCGGGAGCTGTTTTTAAACCAAACGGCATTACACAGTATTGAAAGAGTCCATCTGGCGTTACAAATGCAGAGATTTCTTTTGCCCTCTCTGTCATGGGGATTTGCCAGTACCCTTTTAACATGTCTATCTTTGTTACATATTTGGCCTTACCCACCTGGTCAATGCAGTCATCAATACGAGGTATAGGATAAGAATCATCCCTCGTCAGCGTATTTACCTTCCGAAAATCCGTGCAGAAGCGAATTCCACCATCAGCCTTGGGCACTAGTATGCATGGGGAACTCCAAGCACTAACACTGGGCTCAATGATTTTGTTTTCCAACATATACCGGACCTCATCTCTCATCTGCTTACCTTTTGTTGGATTTACTCTGTAAGGATGTTGCTTCACTGGGCCATTATCACCAATATCAATCATGATGCATTAAATTCGTCCGACCCGGAACATCAGAAAACAGACAAGAAAAATCCAAAAGCAAGTTATTCAGCTGTTGCTGTTTCGAAGAATCTAGATGAGAAAACTTATTTTTTAGATTATTAAGAATATCTGAATTCATTAATTTAGAGTGAGGCACATCAACAAGGGGATCTTCATCTTTCTCGCCATCATTAATAACATTCATCACATTCACCATGACTGCATTGCCATCCTTACATTCTTCTATAGGCCGTTTATTGCGTTCTACATATTTCTTAATCTGATTAATATGGCAAAGTCGTGACTGGAGTCTGAATTACATAATTCAGGTCACTTAGCTTTTTCTCCACGGTACATGGTCCAAAATAACGCGCCTTCAGTGACTGCCCAGGGACGGGAAGGAAGACCAGTACTCTTTCTCCAGGTGAAAAGGATCGTGACTGAGCATCTCTGTCGTACCGCGTCTTCATCCGTCTCTGGGCCTCACCGAGGTTCGCTCTTGCCAGTTCACATACTCTGTGGAGTTTTAATCTAAAGTCCATTACATGGTTCAATATATCAGACCTATTATCATCATCTAACCATCTTTCTTTCAACATCTTTAGTGGACCTCTTACCTCATGGCCGAACACAAGCTCAAATGGGCTAAACCCCAGAGTATCCTGCACACTCTCTCTAGCAGCAAACAACAACAGCGGAACCATTTCATCCCACTGGTCATCCGTCTCATGACAGTAAATGCGGACCATGTTTTTCAACGTCTGGTGGAATCTCTCCAGCGCGCCCTGCGACTCTGGGTGGTAGGCGCTTGACACTTGATGTCGTACGCCATCCGTCGCATGGCTGCCTGGAACGCCTTAGAGAGGAAGTTACTGCCTTGGTCGGACTGGATCACCCTCGGTAACCCGTATGTACAGAAAAATTTCGTGAGTTTTTGATTATTGCCTTGCTACTGATCTTACGCAACGGGATCGCCTCAGGATATCGAGTGGAAGAACACATGATGGTGAGGAGGTAATTATTACCGGATTTTGTCTTGGGAAGCGGGCCAACACAGTCTATAATTACGTGACTAAAAGGCTCAGAGATCACAGGAATCGGATATAAAGGCGCTACAGGGATCTTCTGGTTAGGCTTTCCCACGACCTGGCACTGATGACACGATTTACAATAATTCACAACATCTCTACGTAACCCCGGCCAATAGAAATGGTTCATTATTTTTCTGCATGTTTTGTTAATACCCATATGACCCGACAATGGTGAATCGTGAGCAAGACTCAGGATCTGTGACCTGTAAGGTGCTGGGACAACGACCTGGTGTACCACGTGCCACTCGTCTCCCGCACCCACGTGACGAGGCCTCCATTTTCTCATCAAGACGCCACCTTTTTTATAAGCTGCAGGTATATCTGACGCATCAGTTTCTGACCCAGCTAATTCAGCAATCTTACACAATTCTGCGTCACATTTTTGCTGATCTATAAGCTTCCCTTTATCAACGGGGAAGACACTTAGCTTTGTCGTCACCAGCATCAGTCTCGTGGCATAGCAATGAAGTTCTTTCGTCACCTCTCACGTCATTTCCATTACCACATACCTTGTCCTTATTACGTACGCACTGACTCGCACGAGCTACCGTGGGAAGGTCGTGCCCGACACGCCTTGCCTCCCGCATGGTCCTCGTGACCGCGCAGGCAGGGAACATGCCCATGTCTTCTTCTGCAAGCTGTTCACCGTCGTTTATGTCTGGAGTACTTAGAATTGCTACATTAATTTGGGGTTTAGCAAATACCTTCTCTCCTGCCAAGTCATTTGCCAATATAAATGATACACCTTCTATGGGTAATTTAGGTACCACTCCTACAGTTACTTCCTTATCACAGAAATGAGATTTGAGATGAACCTTATGTAACGGGGCAATCAGATGCCCACACTCAATACCGGCTATGACGACACTCGCGTCCGAAGTCTTCCCCGCTAGTGGCAATACACCTTCCAAGAGCAGTGACTGTAACGCCGCTGTATCTCTTAATATTACGATAGGCTTTTCACCACTTTCATCACCAACCAGGGATACACTTCCTTCTGAGCAAAACGGCTTGAATTCATCACTTACATTTCTAAATCTATCTGTATCAGAAAGCAAATTGACTTCTACTGGACTTTTTACATCTTAAATCTAGTACTGGCAAGAGCTACGGGAACGTCCTTGGACTTCTCTTTTAAGAACCAGCAATTGCTGATAGTATGACCCAACAACTTGCAATTAAAGCATCTAACTGATTTCTTTTTATCATAACTGGAGTTATGACCAGGACTGGCGGTCTCTCTCTTATCACCTTTAAATTCATTCTTACCTGTCAGGGGAGTGGGTTGTGGTTTTACAGTACTCTTTGGACCCTCAACATTTCTGTGGATCAAAGCATAATCCTCTGCCATTCTGGCAGCTTCATCTAACACCTTTACCCTGTTTTCATTTAAATACATCTTAATGCGGTCAGGTAGACATTTCTTAAATTCTTCTACAAGAATCAGTTGATATAGTTTATCACAATCATTATCTACTTTCTCACTCTCACACCAACGAGCAAGCAAGCCATCTTTCTCTCTGGCAAAATCTAAAAAGCTCTGATTGTCCCTTTTCCGCAGATTACGGAACTTTAAGCGGTAGGCCTCCGGCACCAACTCGTATCCCTTTAACACAGCCGTCTTTACTTTATCATAGTCACGAGAATCCGTCACGGACATTGACATGTAAATTTCTTGAGCTTTACCAGTGAGGACAGATTGAAGCAGTACCGTCCATTGTTCTTTTGGCCAATCAGAACTAATTGCTATTTTCTCAAAATATCGAAAGTAATTGTCAACAGCATTCTCTTGAAATGGGGGAACCAATTTTGCGTTAGCAGTTATGTTAAACGGCACAGCAGCGGGTGAGGCCGCTCTGAGCTCTAACTCCTTTAATTTGATTTCTCTCTCTATGTCTAGTTCACGCATACGACACTCGTTCTCTCTCTGACGCACTTCTAACTCACGCATTCGGTATTCGTTCTGTAGCTCAAGCTCTTTTATCCTAACCATATCGCTGTCATTTTCTACGTATTCAAGTGCGCTGTCATCTAATAACCCATCATCTACCATATACTTAATCAACTCATTCCTAATCTGAAATTTAAATGAACCTCTCCTTACACTAAATTCAATCTTTTCAGCAACTTTTTATCAAATCAGTCTTTCTCAAATCCATCAGAGCCTCCACTGTAGGAGACTCGAAGAATTGTTCCATGTCAAAAGGCATCTTGAAAATATTACTCCCACCTTTACAAAGTTATAATAAATGTATTTCAGCAATCATTTACATGATATAGCATCTTTATTATTATACTTAATGAAACAAAAGTATCCCGGACAGGCCCCCAATTTTGCTACGTAGCTTTCGTTCTTTAACAATGACACCGGTTGTTGCAGAACAGGGCGCATAACAGAACCCAATCTAGGTTGATATGATTTGGTGTCAAGCGTAATACAATATAAATATACTTTTGTTTCTCTTAATTCCAAGCTCATAGTCCACTCAGAAGTACGTATGTTCTTATATGCTGCTGTAATATCTCCTGCTTGTTTATCTTAACGGTAATATTAACAATGATGTTATCAATCATTAGTAATTTATATACTAGTAATTAGATATTTATATACTAGTTCTTCTTTTCAAGCCTTGTTATAATTACTAATTAATCATCACTTATTATGTTCCACGTGTTTATTTACTGTTATATTAATCTTATTGTACACAACTTTCTATCATTTATCATTTCCTTTTAGATTCCCTTTTTAAAGTATTGTAGATTTTTAGTAATATAAAGTAAGTATGCAAGGTAGGGAGTATAAAGCCACTTTATGATTCACTTATATTTTCACCAATCACCGGATAACAAAATAGAAAATCACTTCATCCACAAACATATATTCACTTCAACACACACAAAATAATATTCATATAGAAATAAACATAACATAATACAGGGTGTCAAATAAAGTTAACTTACAAATATTTAACGTAAATTATAGTAAACCACAACCCGGCTCCGCCGACCACCGACCAGCCATAGTCACCTCTTTCCACCAGTCCGTCCAAGGTCGTTCTACCCCTCATTCGCCCTCACCCCCATACAATCCTATTCTGAGTGACTAGACCGAAACCCGAACCCGACCGAACCCCTTATGTCTCGTCCACGTATTCCGAATCCCGTCAGTCCGTCGCAGTCGGAGCGAAGCGATGTGAGGTCATGCAGAGGTCATGCAATTAGTTGACGATCATGCACAGGTCGATGGTCGATGGGCAGCCATGTAATAATATATATACACATATATATATATATAATGTTATATGATATATATGTATATATAGATAGATAGATATATAAATATATGTATATATATACATACACACACACACACACAATATATATATATATATATATATATATATATATATATATATATATATGTATATATGTATATATGTATATATGTATATATGTATACATGTATATATGTATATATGGATATATGTGTGTGTGTGTGTGTGTGTGTGTGTGTGTGTGTGTGTGTGTGTGTGTGTGTGTGTGTGTGTGTGTGTGTGTGTGTGTGTGTGTGTGTGTGTGTGTGTGTGTGTGTGTGTGGTGTGTGTGTGTGTGTGTGTGTGTGTGTGTGTGTGTGTGTGTGTGTGTGTGTGTGTGTGTGTATTTTTACATACACATACCCACACAATGTAAGTACACATATTTCTGTATGTATGTTTATATATTTACATATATATGTGTGTATATATATAGCTACGTAAAGAACAGATTAATAAATAAATAAATAAATATATAATATTTATATATATATATATATATGTATATATATATATATATATATATATATATATATATATATATATATATATATATATATATATATATGTACACATTTATATACAAATATGTCTGTGTGCGTGTGTGCGTGTGTGTGTAATATATGTAATATATATACAAATATATGTTAACAGAGGATATAGAATTATATCTTATATGCTATATTTATGTTTATAAGCATATAGAATTCATAGAGTTCTACAGATTGATAAATCCTATTCCTACCTACCTATGTATATGTAGTACATTGATACAAATACATATGCAGCATGTAACCATACACATACACATGCACATGCACAGGCACTCACACAAACATAGGGTTATCATGTGGTGTCATTCGTAAGGCATCTGCCATACTGGAGTCGGTGGAGGCTTGAAGCACTTGTGTGTCCTTTCCTTCCATATGCAAATTTAGCATCACATCCTACTTTCTTTTGTTACTGATATTATTATAACAGAGAACTGTTAATCTCTCACAGAGTACAATATGATTTCGTTAGTGCAGAAAACATGTAACAGGAAATAGATTTTTTTTTTTCTCTCTCTTCTTTTTTACCTCTTTTTGTCCCTTTTTTAAGGCCTTTGCAACACTCCAGATCTTTTGCTGTATATGGGCTTGGTGCAAATAATAAATAATATATAATTTTCAAAGTCTAGGTGTTATCCTTGGCAAATCATTCTGGTCAGTTGATTAATTTATGGCTTATGTGTATATGTATATGTATATGTATATGTATATATATAAATAAACACATAGATGTTATGTATATGTATACTTCTGTACATTAACCCACTTGCATATGCTTTGCAAAATACATATACTAATTCTTCCATGACTTTCCTGTCTTATGAAAAGTGACTTCATTCACTCCCTGAACAACTTACCTTCCAGCTGC